TGACTAAAACCCAATACTGAGCGTCTGATAAGGGAGGAGTTACTGCTGTGATGACTTAACAGTGAGTTGGGTCAACAAAGAACTTCTTTCAGCATTGATGGAAGTTGAAATAGTTAAATATATGATAAAGAGGACTAGTGCTCCATCCGCTGGCTGGACAGAAGACTGCATATTATTAATGTGCAATATTTCATATTTACCTTATGAAGAATATATGTCTAAAAACCAGTTAACATCTAATTTAAAAGGATAACTAGTAATTGGTATATGCTACCTGGGAAACTGGCACCTTGAAATATAGTGTGTCCTACAAATAATAGGATTTTTTTCCTACCCAGTTACAAATATAACTGGGTTTTCAACTAGACTGACAAAACTGCTGCAATTTGTCTGAAAAGTTTCCACTGCACATTTGGCAGCATCTCCTTCTGTTAGAATTTACTGGTTCATCTGACAGGCAAGTAAGACATCTGACAAGCACTTGAGACAGCAAACCACAAAACAACAAAGGCAGCAAGCGTTTTGTGAACTACACCATGAAGACCATTAAGAGACAACTTACAGCTCTTTCAAGCCACAAAAAAAAACCTGCAGCTGCCAGGAAAGACAGCATTCCCTAAAAACATTGAGGATGTTACCTTTTTATTTGTATTGGTGTATTGGTGTCTTTGTATTGGTGTAGATAATAATATAGAATCAAATACTTTCATAAAAACCTCTGACAAGTTTTAGGATTGACATCAGAAAACAGCACAAAACAATGACCAAATGAAATAATTTTATATTTTATTGTCATTTTCTTACAAAGTAATACTCAACAATACATTTCAAACAGTGTACCGTATATTAAAAAAATACAGAAATAATACAACTAAAAAGCCAAAAAATAAAATAAAAAACAAAATAAAAAATGAATGAATATTTATCTATCCATAATGTGGTTGGTTTTGTTTTAATTTCCAATGTGGGGCCTAAGGTTTAGCAGCCTACCTGAGACAGAACAGACAAGGGTGGGAACACAGGGACCTGAGACAAGCAGAAGCAATAAAACGGGCGCTCACAATGAACAAAACAAACTCCAGGAGTCGCCAGAAGGGGAAGCGTAAATACAAGAGCTTACACAGGAGAAAATATCTACTGCCAACAGATTTACAAACTGCCCTAAAACCATCATCGCTAGGAACGTCCATTCTTCCACTCTTCTTCCTTCCCCTCACTCCCATCATAAATATCACGTTCCTGGAGAAAGCTTGGCAGTTCAACTGATTTTTTTTTCCTTTGTAAAAACTCCAAATATTTAAGTATGCAAATCAGAAAAAGGTCTAACAAAATTAAACGCTGGTACAAAGACCCTGTGATACCCTGCTATGGGAGAGGGGGGAAGGGTGGGGGATCAGACAGCCAAATAGTGGCACAACACAGACAGATAGCTATAAAAGAGTCCAGGTACAGTATACTTATGCAATACACTTCACAGATAACAAGGAAAATAGCAAACAATATTCTGTTACTTTCATAAAGTAATATTTTGTATCAAAAGTCAACGTAAAACAAAACAAACAAAAAATGCCATTTCATTAACGGCTATTAAAAAAAATTACTTTAGTCAATTGTTGCCCCAGGCACAGCTGTTGAAATTTCTTACATAGGGCAGTGCATTAATAGTTGTCTTATACAAGCAAGCATGGCTGCAAAACTGAACTTTTTCACTCAAACAATTATGTTCACTAAAATAAAACAGATTTCAAGCACTGATATGTTTGACGTGGGTTTACATATTAACAGCAATGCAGCTTCTTTAAAAAAGAAAAATTACATCCTTTATGTAACACTCTAAACGGCTATGGATGGGACAGAAAATAGTGTTTTGAGTAGTTTTCTTTTTTAAAACATTACAAAAAGAAGTATATTTTATGTTTTTTTTTTGGTTTAAGGCAAACTCAGAATTAGTAGTGCAATGCACTTCAAACAGCACAGTTATGTGTGGTATGTGCCAAGAGTGCGAACCGCTAGTATACCGATTTTGATCAATCCTCTGGACAGCTCTCAACCAACATAAGCACGCAATATAGCCAGGGTTAATATTGTATTGTTTTACGGAGAGACTGATAAAAACTCAACACCAACTACTGACTAAACTTTTTCAGTTGCTTTATGTTCCGATTAAAACAACGAGGCACATCCCTGGCAAACAACAATTTTACTACATGTAGCACAAAGATGTAAATGCACTTAAAGGGAATCTATAATGGTTTTCAGTGTATATATTAGTTCCAATGCTCGTACGCTGATATTTTATGTCATTTACTTTACAAAGCATGCGTTGCTTTCTACTAAGAAAGTCCAGCACGGCTTGTGTATGCTTTCTGGTTGTCTGTGTAAACTGACTTTTTTGTAGAGTTCCACCTACTTGCTGCAAGTGGTAAAGATTAAGTATTTAAATGCAATACTTAACATTCATCTGTTTAAAGAAAAGAAAATGTGATTTAAAAAAATAGCAATGGACATAAGAAACATCTATTAGAATAGAAACTATAGATTCCCTTTGAGTTACAGCCTGTGTATTTAATGGACTCTGCAGAAGAAGAAAAAAATTATTATTATTATGAAGAAGAATGATCTCCTCTCCCTAACGTTAAAGCCCAATTGAACCCTCATTTTCTACTGTAATGCATCCAGACTGCACAAACAGTAATAAAAAAAAAGGGACTCTTAGCTTTTATTTTAATTTTTTTTACACTAAGTGATGCAGCACGGGTTAAAATGACGTGCCAGCAAATAGAGTCATACCGCTGCTCTCTCACACAAAGCAGCGGTCCAGATCTCAGCAGTCTGACATGCCTCCTTAAACACTGCTCCAATTGACAGTGCTCTCAACTCTCATATGTGCTAGCAGCATAGGGTATTTTTAACCCTTTGCTATAGCACTTAAAAATGTAACATAAGAGACCCATTACTATTACTGTATATGCAGCCTAGCTGCATTACAATAATACATAACAAGGGTTCAGCTAGATTTAAAAAGGCTTATTCCCCTTGATCTTTGTTCCTACATCACTGACCAGAACATGAACAAATGTAACAAAAATAACTTTTTAGGCACAAAAAATAAATAAAAAAATTGGACTGCAAGCCAGCAACATTAAGACAGCCACTGGAAGGCTTATTATTATTTTTTTAAATACATGTGCAGCAATATAAATTAATACTACTATTACATTCTTAAAGGCATACTCCACCTTTTGTAAAAAAATTAAAATAAATGCATCCACACTGATAAAAAAAAGTGCATTTATATATTTTTTAAATTCAGGCCTACAGAGCATTGCAACCGCAGTCAGTGCTTTGAGATTGCAATGCACAGGTTCCTAAATATTCCTTTGAGACCTATGAGTCCCTCTGCTACATTGGCAGATGGGCTTGTAGTCTTTCCATTTACAGATCTCTGTGAATGGATATCGCTGCTATGTGGGAGGAGCCATGCACAACTGCGGGGAATGCAAACACAGAGAGAAGCACCCTGAAATTCAGGTAAGTTGGCCGGGGTGGGGAGAGTGCAGTTTGAGGGTAGAGGGGTGGGGAATGTGATTATGTTTCATTTTACACCCTAAATATGGTCCCAAAGGTGAACTAAGCCTTTAAAGAAAAAACATAATATATAGCTGAACAAGTGGACTGAAATAATGTGCCAGTTCTGCATTCCAGCTCAAACTATCATAGGTCCCATAAAGCTGACTCAAGTGTGATTGCCTAGAATTTTGCTCTGAAAGAAAGCACATGTTTTAGATCAGCTAAAATTCTGGCCCATCCATAGACATCTGTTATTCATCCTAAAAAAGGGGATATATTTTTTTGTTCATATATATACAAACAGCTCACAGCACCAGCAGATATATATTGTATCACTTTTTCATAAAACCCATCTTGTGATGCTTCCAAATTTGAACATTTCTCAGTATCTCCCACCCCCTTTCAATTTCAAGATAAAAATATAAAAAAATACATTAGCAATACCTAGATAAATAAACTTTCAAATCCGCAGACCTCTATATGTTCTCATAATTATTTTGCCCAAATAGCTGGCAAGGTTTAAAAACTGACCCACAAGGGAAACATCGGAAAGGTTGCGATTGTTGTGTGGATGATTTCCTACACAAACATTATTAATCTACAGTAATCATGATTTTAGTTTTAGGGCTAATTAATGCAAGAAATATTTGTAATTAACTTCCAAATAAAAGTTTGTTTCACCCAACACTCCAGACCAACGTGGGGTGAAACATCTACAACCGCAACACAAACACCCATTGTTTGGAATCACCTCTGCTTATATTCAGCGTAAAACATATCTAAACCCAAAACCAAAAATGTTGTAAATAGTGGCTTACAAGTCCTTAAGTGTAGTGGCTGCATTTGTTTTCTTAGGAAGTGTTTCTTCTTTATTTTCACCTAGTGATCCTTTGAATAGCACACTTCATGTCCCCTGTGTGTCTTTACTCTTTTCTCTACTGTATCTTCGGAAGGAGCCATGAATGTGACACATGCTGGGCTTAAAACAAGTCTGCCTTTGTCCATCACATTACACAGTGGAATGATGGGACTAGAAGTTTAAATAATAAAAATCATTTTTTTTGTGCTTTCTATTAAATTCACAGAAAGTGACAAGGACACTGCATTTCTGACAAGATCAATAGCTATCTTATGTACTTGCTGAAAAATGCTCTAAGCCTGAAAAGTGCTAATACAGCAACCACATCTAAGGACTGGTAAGCTGCAATATAGGACATTTTTGTTTTTGGGTTCAGATACGCTTTAACTCAATTATTGAATGGATAGCTTGCAGGGAAAGTCGATTATTAAACCAGCAAAAACATGAAACCAAAGTACCTATTATATCACTAATGGAGACCCTTTAAGTAATATATCTTTTAGCATGTACATCACTATACAGCTTCTATCCAAAACTGATTTTTTTTTTTCATTGTTGAGTGTACATAGTTTTTTAAAAAAGTGAAAAAACATGCTTTACTTTGCTGTGAGCCCTTTTTATGCGCATTTTATACAGCACTGGAGACTAGTGGAGTTGATCAGACTTAGACATGGCGTACTTGCCAACAGTTCAGAAGTTCTAAGAATCCAGAAAAGGGATATCTTTATTGGGAAAAGAAAAAGGGTTGTTTGTGTAAATCTGGACAGGACACAGGCAGACTAGGAACATTTCCTATTTAGTCCAACATTTTGCTTTGGGAATGAAGGCATGAAAATGGCTCCTGTGATAGCACACGCAACACACACAGTAGCAGGTTAGCACAACCACTACTTGTACAACTCTACCACGGATAGGGGGACCTCAATCGTAAAACATCTTGTTCTGCTCTCTTTCTTGGCATGTACACAGTGGAAAACACGGAATCAGCTTGGCAGCCATCTCAAAATTACCCCTACATTTCATATGTTTAAGACAGAATATAGGTGCAGCTCTACTCAGCAATATACAGTGGGAGTGACAATAATGCAACGCACTTACCCTGCTAACACCTTCTATAGCAGCAATGACATTTCTCATTGTTTTACACTTTAACAACTTTTGACTGAACCCTCCAGACAACACAATAATATTACAGATTATATAACACATACTGCTCTTAGCAGAGTAACAAAGGATTGAATGCCTTTGCTTTACAGTCAGTGGAACTGCACCCTTAGTACCAAGAATAACAAAACACATGGTAGGAGGGTGCAATTGTTCACTTGCACTGTAATTGTTTTTTAGTGGATAATGCATCACAGCCTTGTACAAAGACACAGCACTGAGAGAGAAAAAAGATTTAAAGGACAAAATAAAACAGAAGGGGTTGAGAAAAATAAATGTGTAATCATAAGTAAAGTTATGGGGAGGTGGCTGGAAGGCCAAAAGAAACCAGGAAGAGTAGAGGGAGGTAGAAAGGTTGGAGAAAACACAGGAAAAGAAATGAAAGGTCTGGAAATGAGTTGAAATTATGGATTTAAATGGAATTTATCAGAGCAGAATAAAGTTTTCCCATGCTCTCCCCTCCTCTTCAGCTTGTTCACTTGTGAATAGAAAGGCACATCCGCTTGTATTTCCACCAACTGTCCGATGTTTGGTGGGGTGGGGGAGATTGGTAGGAGCTTCCACACCCCGAAAACCTACTTGGCTCCAAAAGTCTCTCTTTTGCAAACCTCTACATTGTTTACTAAGTGAGAAAAGATTCACTTCCCAGAGAAGAGCAGAATATCTCCTCTGTATCACAAGTCCGACATCCAGAAGAGGGACACACAAAAGAAAACCACCAGGTACACATATGAAGATGTGATCATAGCAGAGGGCAACAGACAGACAAGCAGGCATGCCACAAGATGGACAGGAATTAAAGCGTGCCCCCAGACTTTAGTGACATGATATTTACTACTAGAACAGCAGCTAGAAATGAGCAGAAAGCTACAGAGAGTGGACAGTCCCTGTTGAATGTGATATGAGGACACATAATAAACGCATAAGAATGTGGTACTGAACTGATACAATGACTTATACACCAATAGGAGAACTTATGAGACAGAAGAGGAAGTAAGACGAGAGGAAATAGTAGAAAACATTCGAAAGAAGTTGAAAAATGGACAAAAGGCAGTAAGGTTACCATGAGAAGCAGATGACATGAAGAAGCAGCCCCAACAGGAAATGAAATGGACAAATAAAAGCAACTTAAGAAGTGGCACAAGACAAAAAATAAAGAGGGCCAAAGAGGAAGTGACACAAAACAGTTGGGAAAAACAAGAACTTCTCGGGAAAGTGAAATAAAAAAAAACAAGCAAGGCACCAAATTGTCTGCAGATGATAACTATGCCTCTTCAGTGATGGAGGAGCCTGGATAAAATCTTGACAAACTCTGGCTTAATAAGCTCTAGATACAGTACCCTCCAACACTGAGGAGTCCGGAATCCACATTTTACTAGCAACCCCCACCCCAGAACAAAATAAAAACAAACATTTCAAGCTCCTGTTATTCCCATCAAAGGAAAGTGGCAAACAAAAGCAGAGAGTGTTGTGGGGCAATTACTTTATACCAGATGGGTACCCCGCTTCTCCATCCACTCCAAAATCAAATGATTTAAAAAAAAAAAAAAAGATGCAAGACGCTGGAAGGTCCTTCTCCCTTAGGGCGGTGAGTATGAGCAGAGCCCACACCCAGAAACAAGGCCAGACTAGATAAAATATTCCTTCTTCTCTTCACAGTTGTTCTGACCACCCTCCGCATTGATGATTGCAGTGTCTGCGTCTGCTGCGTCGTCTGCACCTTTGGCTTCATGGGTGAAATATGTTCCTGTGGAAGAGGGAATTAAACATTTACTATAAAAGTAGCAGCTCCATTATTCACCATATATAGCACTTTGTGAAGGATCAATAATAATGCTGTGAAGATTAGCTGTACTAGAGGTGGACCTATCAAACCACTTAAATCTACCAAAATTGCAAAAGAGTACAAGAACCGTCACACTTCTGATTTACTCATTGTATCATTCTTGATGGCAATCATTTTCACAGGCACGCCAATGTGCATTTAGGGCCAAAACAAATGCACCTGCCTCCAACCATACCATGTATTGCGCTGGAAAAAAATTAGGCTAGTATGGTTGTTTGCCAGCTGATGCATCAACAAACACATAACCCTGCATATAACACACACCTAAAAAGCTGAACTATATAATAACTTTACCTGTCCTATCACACAGATGAAACCTCACCTTTATATCTGAAGTGAAGTGCTGGGTACTAGTGTAAATGATAATTTGCAAGCATGTAGTGAGGGCAGCAGGTGAACCAAATATATTTAATAAGTCCACATTATTACCTTTGCCCAAGTTAAAATTACATGAGTATCCAAAATGTTTCAGGGGCTCACCAGTCCCCTTTTCATCAGAGCTTGTTGTGGTAGAATAAAAGACAATGGGGGGAATTTATAAAAACTGGAGCAGACAGATTCTGGAGCAGTTGCCCATGGCAACCAATCAGCTTCTCTCTTCAGTTTACTCAGTTAAAGTAGAACTATGAGGTGAGGGAAAATCACTCATCCTCACAGTTTGGGCCAATGTGTGACAATGAAATCCTGTTCAAGTGTACTGAGTTGGCTTTTATTCTGCTATTACAACCCCTATTGTAGGGTTACTGGTAAGCCCCCCCAAAAATGTTGGCAACTCATGTGATTCTCACTTTCACAAATAAAAATCATCTGGAGCTATTGATCATAGTTTCACTTCTTTACCATTTTTTGAAACATAGAATCATAACTGCTTTCAGTTGGTTCATTGTATTTTATTGTTAAACCTGCTTCACTAGTTTTTTTTTTAAAATTATGTCTGATACATTTGCTTCCATGGAGTGCTTCTCTCCTGATGGTGATGTGAGCTGCACTATACATAAATTGGTAATGTAATGACTTCTAAGCAGATTTGGGTAGTTTCCATGGCTATTCCTATCTGTATGCATAGAGGCTGAAAGGAACACATAGATGGCAACAAGTAGAATCCATTAAAATGAGGTGGGTCAGAAGGACACAGTAAGGGGATACACCACAAGAAGGAGGAAGGAAAGGCAATTATAGATAACTAAGAAAATAAATAAAACACAGCAAACATATCATGAGTGGAAAATGTGAAAAAGGAAGGACAATTCCTATCCACCCCTAGATTTTTAAAGCTAAGTTCCATTAAGAATCCACAGACCTTGGGGGTTTATTGAAATTGGATATATACAGATAATAACCCAACACAAAGAGCTATTAACCCTCTTCTAATGTGATGATTTCCACTACATTAACCATTTTCTAATCACCCCCCTTTCGCAGATTGAGGTCTAAAATGGTTCTTAATAGAATTAATAAAGCTTATGGCCTTCCAGCTGTCATTTTTCCTTGGAGAAATAACTGGTCTAGGCAGTATGGAAACGTGCCTTACAATTTCTCAGACATGCCCTATATGGATAATGGAAATCAAAGGCATATCCATGTGGGTGCTAATGGGTGGTGTGGGAAATAATTGCTGTTTGCTGATTGGGCAGAAGATGCATAGAGCTTGCAAGTGCTAGTGAGGTGATGTTTGTACTGATAGCATGGTGCAGGCAATGTGGTCTTAAGGGGTTCCAAGTGCTGCCTAGACACAGGTTGTGGATGATAGTGGTTTTGATTATAACCAGGGATAGGGTGCTGAGGCCAAGAGTTTGTATGGTTGCATGGTTTTGGGGTTTGGCCAGAAGGGGGTGGTTGCTCATCTGTGAAAAGGTTATAGGTTGTGGGTGCTAACCAGGCAGATAGGTTGCTGATGGGTAGTCCACAGAAGGCTTTTTATAACTAGTGGATGAGTTTTATATTGTAAATGCTAATCATGGAGAAATGATGTAGGAGATGTGGGGTCACAAATCTCAATGTGTATATTGCAGGGGCCTGTGGCTGCTGACAGAGGTACAGGTGCTGAAGAGGCTATATGATAAATGGAAAGACATAGGTTTTAACTTTGGTTTGACTTAGGGCTTGTTCACACCAAGCGCGGAGCAGATCCGGACCAGAGCAGGTGCAGACCGGATCAAAACTGCGTCCAATGTATTCCTATGGTATTTTGACCTCCAGTTCACATCGCAGCGTGCGGATCCAGACCAGATCCAGACCGGATGAAAAAAATGCGGCAAGCCCTATTTTACCTGCTCTGGATCTGGTCTGGAACGCATCAAAAACGCATCTAAAACGCAAAAACGCATCAAAAACGCATGCAAGTGCCTGAAAGTCCATGTTAAACTTAAATTTTTTTTTTACCAAAACCGGCCCTAAACGCATCCAAAACGCATCCAAAACGCATCTAAAACGCGGCACAACCCACTACACTGCGTGTGCAGAAACCTGACTGGATCTGGTCTGCATTTGGTGTGAACAAGGCCTAAGGGAGGATTTGATAGCAATTTTATGTGTTCCAGCACACATGAAAATGTAGTTTCTTTATGCTTAGTTATAGTTTCACGAATGCAGATACACTAGTATGTATAAGGAATGCAAGGGAGTTTGGCTAACTGGCAATGATGAAAAACATTAGATAACAAGGGGAACAGAGACACAAAAACTGCTAGACACCAGGGACTATACAGCATGTCAGCCACCAGGTAGAGATGGTAGAAAATTCAGCTAAAGAAGCATAATGGGAAATAATTAAACCATGTCTCAATGTCAAAGCTACAATACAATAAAAATGAATAACCCAAATGAAATGATTCAACTGTGGCGTATTGTTGCACAGAGCCAATCAATGTGCATGTTTCTTTAAGCATTGTTCAACTTGTTTTTTTGATACTTTATGCAGTGATAAACTATTACTATTTTGTGTTATTTTTTGATGTCAGCCTGAAATTATAGGCAATGAAAACATTTGATGGTTGATGAATTGAAAATCTAATACTGTTTGCCAAATCATACTTGCTTAGCAAGTGTACATACACATTTCCCTGCAGCTCTATTTATAATTCAGACAATAATGATTATTACACTGTATTATTCTTTGAAGATTTGACAAGACTGCATAAACATATTTAGGCAACTTAAAAAAGGTCGCGGTTTGCTTTATGTGAGGATGAAGTCGCTCATCTTTGTGTACAACATACAGTTTAAATTCCTCTCTGCCCTTCTACCCCCATCCTCCCAAACTATCAACACTTTATCTATGTGATGTATCTAGAAATAGACCCAAACAGAGAACTATTTCTTCATACTGCAAATGTTACCAGTCCTCTAGAAGGAATTTGATATATGTTGGGACTACTGGAGTTCTTATTTCTGTCCTGACTATGACAGAGTCCAGGACGGCTAGGAGAAACCAGTTCTTCATGTGGTAGAAAAAAGTAAACTTTTAGTCCTTAAGCTTTATCAATAGCTGAACTTATTGTTAATGATTACAGGTTAAAATAACTGCAGTGCCTATAAAGATGAAAAGGGGAAAGGAACGGTAGTTTTGAAAGAGTACAGAGGCATTGTTTCTCTGTTTGACTTGCCTGCATCTCCAGTACCTCACCTTTCATTATACCGTGGTTGCAAGTAACTCACTTTAAACCTCTACATTAAACTTTTGTATATATTATATTTAGAAGAAGGAACCCACCAAGCAATATTTGCATACCATGAGCCCAATGTAACTGCAGCAAAATGGTTACCCTTCCTGTTAAAATTTAAATATATAAAATCCTCATGCCTTATGTTTCTAACAGTGTTTAAAAAAATTAGTGGCTGAACACTCTTGCTTTCTTTCCATTGTATTGCTGTGCACAGCAGGGTCAGATACAGTCACAGCACTTCTCTAAGTTACTCCCAATGATCATTGTACTTGTGTCGAATGGAAAATGAAGCATGCTTTTAGATGCAGCTTACATTTGAGATACATTTATGACGCTTATGAGATCATTTAGGAGTTCACCAAGAGATGCATCTGATCTGCAGCCAACACCTCTCTGACCTGCAATTGACTTCCTTTTAAGGCTACATCCAACTACTTCAAGTTGCTTTTGCATTCTGGGGGTTTCACATGCCAAGCAGCCACTGAAAGCTGTGGTTCCACCTGCTGGCCACCAATCCATGATCTACCCTTTCCAGTCCTTGCTGCCGAATTTGGCAGCCCTCCCCTGCCCACATCCAGTAGGAGAGAACCAAAAATGTAGAGGTTCCTTACCTTTATGTCGAGCAAAGTAACGACCCAATATGATGAGAAGGCAAAGCATTGCGAAGACAACAACAGCAACAACGCCCCCAATTACTGCATGGTCTACACCAAGGGGGCTCTCTTCTCCTGCTCGTGTATCTGTCAAAGAAACACAGGAGTTAAACTGCTGGAGCACTGAAGCACAGTAAAAGGGTAGGCAATTACAGGAACATTAAAGAGGTCTAAAGATATTTTACTTAAGGTAGTCAGGCATAAAACTGCTAATTGTTCCACTGGAAATAATAAGACACTCCAGTGATTTTTTTTATCATACAGCATAAAAATCCACTAGATAGAGCTCATCAAGCTATATGTAATGTAGCCTATGCACTTCCAGCTTGAAACTACTTCATGTACAAAAATAAAAGAGAATTCCTCCAAATTTCCAGAAGAGTAGAATGTCAGCTCCGGGGCAAACATTTCTGATACAATCTTTTTCTGTCTGCACATGATCAGGTCACATGACTGTGCTGGAAGCCTTTAAACTGCAATGATTTTAGCTTATAAGGGTATGTACTTTTTGTATTACTTGTAATTGTATATCTTAGGGATGCACAGATACTTTGAGTACCAGTGCAGATACTTGGCATTTTCATGAGAACTATCAGGGTTGCAGAGGTTGCAGCTGGAACCTGGTTCTGGCACTCCACCACTGTCCTGAAATCATCAGTCTGTATTGTTTTAGAAAAACTGTCACATGACCATAAACAAAAATGTATCAGTACTCGTACTTGTAAGTACTCAGCAAGTACCAGTACTCGTACTTGATCAAGGATGCTGGCAAGCACTCCTATCGCCGTCTTTAATGTTGCTCCAAATATATACACTTTTAGATTCGTGCAAAGTTAGTGAAGTGTATGTTGTACAAGGACAAATCAGGATGTTCTATAGCATTAGTATTCTATATTAGAATGAAACTATAATGCAAACATTTATTCTACCACAGAAAAATGTCAGCAAATTGAGACACACTTCAACTTCAGAATGCAAAAAAAAAATAAAGTTGAAGATCCACAATTGTAAAGCACAAATATTGCTAATATTAACATAGCACGCAACCAGTGAAGTAAAGGCTTCCAGATTGTACATCCTTTTTTATTTTTTATTTGTTCAATACATTTTTTATCAAGTTTTCCACACAGAAATACAAAAGTGCAAACACTCATGGAAGAATAATATGATTGCCAAACTAAGCAGTGGCGTTATGGTATGAACATGACCAATATCAAACTTGAAAAAATCCAATGACATAGGAGAAAAGCGCGCCCCCCCCCCCCACCTCCCTCTAAGCATTACGAGACTTTGAAGCTGGGCGATCATGTTACAGGCTTATAAAGAGTCCAACTTAGGTCATCCCCTCCTCCAGCGACCTCAAGCAAGAGTACTGATATTGAGGGAGAAAAAGACGAGAGAAAGAAAGAAAGAAAGAAAGAAAAAGAGAGAGAGAGAGAGAGACAGAGAGAAAAAGAAAGAAAGAAAAAGAAAGAAGATCAAACCAAGAGACGATTCTGCGCGGTGCGGCACCTAACAGAGTGTACATCCGTTAACCTGATCTCTCAATAAACTGCATATAAATACAAATATTGTATTTCTTATGATGAAGATAGTGGAAATCATTAAGAAAATGAAAAGCCTGCACTGCCATTTCAATAAGATGTTTCTGTATTTAGTCTGTACTGGAAAAATAATGGCTGATAATAAATTGGGTTAGTTTCTGTAACGAACGCAGACATAAATACACATTTTTTTTTTTTTAAAGAGATGAGCATAAACCTTGGCAATTCAACCTGATCATATGGTAAACACATTCATAGACAGAGGTTACCTTCAGTGATAATGTCATGCTAGGATCCCTAAATATAGGCAGCTGAAGTTGCAAACCTGTTAAAAGTTGAGTTTGCCCCCCCCTTCTTTTGGCCTACTGAGCCTTCATGGAGGTCGCTGAGGCCACCTAACAGAAAGCCTCAGAAGATGTGTCAAGCTCTACTTTTACAGGAAAAGTTGATATCTCCTAAAAACTTCAACAACTTGTATCTCTGGATTAATGATCTCTTTGACCTGCAGTTTTTTTTTTAAAGGTAACCTATATTTATTTTTATTTGGCTTTAAGCAGTGAGTAAAGCTGAACATATCCTAATGCAAGCGGAATTGAACGTAAAATGATGGAAATCAAAACAATTTTAACAATTTTTCTTAAAGGAAAACATTAACTGATTGCTGTACTGTACCTTTTAACTTAACTTTACCTAATTGGAAGCACCATAAGTGAAATGTTTTTTCATCCAGTAAATGTTCTAATTATAGAATATTCTGTCTTAACAATCACATAAAGGTTTTTTATCATTTGAGAGTAAAAATGAAAGGTTCATCTTTGTCACTGTTTTTGGAAAAAGAACTCATAAAGCAAGCACAACCCACCCAAATGCCATTTTTAACAGTGCAAAAATCTCTACCATGAAATGGTTCTTCATCCTAATGTAACAGAACAATTTTTAATTGATCTGATAGCTATCGCTTTGTTGATAAAATAAAACCTTTCATAAAGCACAAAGTGATCATTTTGGAAAGAAAAAAAAAAAGAAAAAAAAGCTAAAGTGGTAACAACCAACTCCTATTACAATTGTTCAGCGATGGCAGTTAGTTGAATAGTTCAATAACAGCTTTTAAATAATAAAAAAACAGTGTTTGCAGTGCCTAGAAATCGAGAGGCAGAAAGAAAAACACTGGAAGCCTACAGAGCTGATTGTGCCAGCAGCATGAAATGAATGGATTGTTAGAAAGCACAATAGCTTTTCTGTAATGCTAAGTATGCTAAAGTAGTAAACATCTATACAACTTGTTTTCAAGGTCCGTGTCCTCAACATCTCAAGTGGGCTGTGCATGGTGTATGTTCATGAAATATTTTTTTCTAATGACCCAAAGCAGTTATTTAGCCACTTCAGCTCTTACACTTGTATACCCCCTATAGACCTATATAACATTTCTGCTATGGGCGCACCAAATTGGCAATCACATTTTTGTTATTTAAAGGAGAACTATGGGGTAAGTGTTTTTCCCCATAGTTCTTCTCAGGGTCACGGGAGGACATAAACTAGCGTCCTCCCGTGACCCAAAGTTCAGTATACCGTGAGCTACAGCTGAGTCCGCCGAAGCCGGGACGGATGCCGACATTACTGTCGAGATCCAACCAGATGCGTGATTGACAGCTGGCCCTGCCTATCTAGAGGCAGAGCCAGCTGTACCCGCTCCTTCTCCATCAGTTCCACCAGTCAGCGCTGAAGGATCGGAGCGGGGAGGGAATCCCTGCAAGGAGCCGCGAGCGACAGTCACGGCTCTCTGCAGGGACATGATCGAGAAGTGAGCGAGCGATGGTATGTGTATGCTCACTTCCCGATCTATTGAGCCGACGTGTGACAGTTTCATTGTCACACGTCGGCCCGAACTATGAAACTGATTGTCACTCACCTCATAGTTCTCCTTTAAGAAAGTTAAATAAGAAAGCAATACATTTATCATGTCTTGAAGACAAAAAAAGCTGTTTTTTGGTTACACTGTCTTGCAAAAATGATTTAATTTATCCCGCAATCCTTAGGGCTTATTCATACGAGTGTGCATGTAATTGCACGCAGCAGCCTGTTCTTCCCTATGGGAGGACATGGCTGCACGCAATTACATGTGGTCACATGCACACCCAAACCTGCCTCTTCCGGGGCCGGGTCTTTATACAGGCGCGCACGCCTGCCATATGGACATGGAGGCCCATCTGCCATATGGACATGGAGGCCCATCTGCCATATGGACATGGAGGCCCATCTGCCATAGACAAAAAAGTAACAAAGCAAAAACATTTCAAAACAAAAAACCCACTATATTCCTGTACTATATTGTTATCAGCATTAGTTTAAAATAATGATTGTTAATGCAGATAAAAAATATGAATTTTGTTCCATCATTTGTCCTATTTAACACAAAAAAAGATGATTCTGGTACAAAGCTATTTACAAATGAAAAATATTTTTTTTAAATGTTGCATTGTTTTAAAATGCAACACAATATACAAAGTGAATAGAAACCAAGGAAAGAATAACAATAAAAAAGCAGGAAAATAGTTGAGGTGAACGGAAGTAGGGTTAACTAGGGTAAACTAAGGGTTAATACGGAGTTATATAAAAACACATTGTTTAAATAAATATATTTATTTTTTGTCAGGTTGCTTTAAAGTGACACTAAACTCAGGAGTTAAACCTTAAAAATGCATTCAAGTACATTAACAAAAAAAATGCAGCTTATTTGTGCATCAATCATCCTCAAATCATCTCTGAATTGGTGCTGACACTGTCCTTCCTTCTGGATGGTGGCTACTTTTGTTCCCCATGGTCCCTGTGTGTGTTGTAAAGTAGCCATCCCTCTAAGCTCACTACTGTGATGGACTACAATCTCATGTTTAGTTTACTAATTTGTATTGAGATTGTAGTCTATTGTGGGAGCGAGCTTGGAGTGGTGGCTACTTTACAACACACACAGGGACTATGGGGAATAAAAGTAGCCACCCTCCAGAAGGAAGGACAGTGTCAGCACCAATTTAGGGATGATTGGAGCATCTACAGTTGAGTGATGCACAAATAAGATGCATTTATGTGAATAGTTAAGGTACTCGAATGCATTTTTTTTGCACTCCTGTGTTTAGTGTCACTTTAATGGACATCATATGCAGATGTAAGCTCAGATGTAAGCTCAGATCCGCAGATAAATGAAGCAGAGTAGAAAAAAAATATGACAACATTTATAAACACTGTGGCAGATGGTCCCTCTTCTGGGAGCAATGACTACTGCAGCTGCTGTATTTTAACATAAGTCCCAACTCTCATTTTGACAGTTGTGTAGTGCTGGCAAGTGTGAGGAGGAAATGGGGAGTTATGGCGGCACCAGGGCACAAAGACAGAGCGTGTGTACTTCAATTGTTTTTTGGGGTGTGTATAGTATTATGCCCAGTGTCCAAACACTGCAAGGCCCACCTGCACACTCAAAACCAAGGCCCTAGACATGTGGAGTTGAGTATGTGTTGAATATGTAACATGCATTCTAATACACTCAACACA